ACAGGGAATGGAGGTGATAGGAAAAAGGTCGTACAATTAGGCAGAACCCATATGGTGCCAATGCTAGTCCGGAATTAAGAACCCTGTACACAAAAATGCTGATAATGACAGGATGCCACCACTATGGCAATGTGCAGATAGAAGTCAACTACATCGAACTTGGACATCCACAATCCTAGTAAAAATGCAACTCTGAGTAAGGAATGAGTCACTTGTGAACCTTGGAGAATCTAGGAATTGATATAGGTGATAAAGATCAATGACTGTACACCAATCTCCTGTCTTCTTGGGGCCCAACAAATTGATGGGAATAAAACCCTGAAAGAACTGGCACAACTTTCTCTCTATCCAGATCAACCAAAATTTTATAGCCCTAAAACTAAGTTCTGAAATCTGAGGATCCACAGGAGATAGAAACACTATAAGTTGGGTGGATAATGGTGGTGAAGATGTGAACTGAATGATTAATCCTGACTCAAGGACCAGTAGTGCCCACGGATTCATGGTTAAGGTTTACCACATCTCCAGAAATTCTCAGAGCCAAGCCCCAATAGATATACAATTGTCACAGCTGCTGGTGGCAGCATTCTTACCAAGCAGCAGAAACCTTGGATATAGACAGGATATATTTTGGATACCAACAGACTGAGAGGCTGTCAAGAGTCAGGACAGTCGAATAGGGGAGGAACTATGATCCCCTGTAGGAGCTGAGAAAAGTTGAGACACCAATGACAACAGGGATGAATGTATAAGCTAACAATTGAACCAATGTGCATGCTATCAATGGTCCCAGCTTGTCATCAATGGTCTTAGTGATCCTGAGAGTCTTCCAACAATGTTTAGAAGGATAATAAATAATTCAACACCGTATATGGGGTGAGATGAATCCTAGAAAGTAACGATCTATTCTGTTTAACTACAGACTCCGCTTTACAGCCCCAGGAACAGATGTATTCTCCAGAGTCGAAATATGCTTCCACCTGGCAGTGGTAGGCTAAGTCACATAGTTCCAACAAAGCAGCCAAGGCATAGCTATTCCATCACGTAATTGAGCACCTGATTTGTCTACATGCCAGAAATAATAATCCTGGAATCCATGTTGTATATCAACTTGCCAAACAAATAAAGAAAAAATAAACATTTTTTTTTATATAGGCAAATCAACTAAGTAACACAAAGAACATTCAAATTATCTCCAAAGATTGTAGTTCAGAGAATTCTGTTCGTGAATGTTTTGTTGAGAAAAAGTGATAACATTATCTAAATGAGGTACTTATATACAGTACCAGGATAGAGGACACACTGACATAGGTGGAGAGTGTCACAAGACAAATATTGCCAAGGGCAATTAAGTAGTGTATAAAAGACTGAAGTAAGCAAGAAAAAAATCAGACCGATGCTTAGGTGGGCAAAGGAAGAAACCCTGGCAGTAGAGTAACAGCTGTAGTGTGAGCGGAGGTAAGTATGTTCAGGAACTCAAATTTTCTTGTCATAAGCCTGAAGACTTACCACTGAGCCACTAATACCATGGCCAGAAGTGACTTAATGAGTTTCATTGGGCAAAAGAGATGTTAGGGAGAATTGGAGAAAAATGAAGAATGCTAAACTAGATTATTTTTTTCAAAAACATTTACTTCTACAACAGTCGTTCAAGCAAACAGCTAGTGTTTTTGATCCCTAAGTAAGATGTATTACATTATTTATTTATTGTTACCGTATTTGCCAGCATGTAAGACAATACTTTTTACTCTTCAAACAATGCCTGATTTTACCTCTCCTCTTATAAACTGGTTCAAATATAGAATTCCAGTAAGAATCTTGAGTTAAGAGCATATTTAATCAAAGCTACATTGTTCCTTTTATTTGCTTTTATGAGTATGTGCATTAACATTGTGCCACCTACTGCATTACAATAACGTATTTGTAATTGTATCATTTGTCTCAATTCTTCTTAACTAGAAGTTATTTATCTCGTATGCTAGATGCAATTAATCAAGACATTTTTTATTTGAAATGTATTGATCTCATCAGTCATACTAAAATATTGCTAATATTATATCAAAAAAGTTAGTTTCTATAATGTACACTAATTCTGTAAACATGTTTTTATAGTAGACCAATATATCTTACAGTTTAATATTCTTTTGTAATAAAAAAGAAGTTCAACTGTGATGAAAACTTTGTAAAGTTGTTTATTACATGTTTGTGACTTCAGATATGCCACACTGAGCTGTTTGTAGCATTTGAAAAGCATAAAACCACACTTGTGGTTGTATTGATTACCAAAAAAAGTAGGTTAGTACAGTATAAAAATAACTTGTAAGAATTTCTTGACAAAAGTAACATCCTAGACTTGCTTGACAACAGAGGTCATTCTATACCAAACCTCAAAGAAATACATCTAATTTGCTCAAACATTCATGGTCAACTTATACATTGGCAAATACAGGACTAGTTAACCCAATCGCAATGGGCTCATATATTTTATACGACCTTGTAATCATGGTGGTATACATGCTATGACTCTGAAAATACTTAATGTATCTTCACAAAACTTGGCATGCTTTCAGTAAACCTTAAGTCTTTCGTAGACAAAAAATCAGAATTTTTAATTGAGGATGTTTACTAAAACTTTTTCCATAATTATATGGTGTCAAATACAAAGTGATTTTCATGTTAAGATTAAAAATACTTTTCTTCACCTGAAACTTTTCCAATTTCATTTGCATAACCCCTAAAGTTTCCTAAATAAATATCAAAAGTTTTTGTTTTTTTTTCTACAAAAGCTTTATATTTTATCTGTTATTTTCTCTACTATAACTCTATACAGGGTCAGTCAATTTGACCAACATCATGCCACCATAAAAAACTATGGAATAATTCTTAATTACCCTTTTTTTCTTTCTGGAATGGCTGCAAATTGTAATATCAAACCACAACTGTTTATACAATAGCTTAAAGCTTGTAAAAGTATAGATCTATGGATACTTAAGTTTTATCATTTTACTGCCCTTTGAACTGTGTCTAACTAATAATCCTGCCACACAGGTCATAAATCACTCAGCTAACATGTACCTCATGTACATTTTTTTTTTCTTTACTTTATCTAATCTAATAAGTTTTAATTTTTACATTTTAGTTACTTTTATAGTAATAAATAAATTAATTAATCAATGTATGTCATTCAGATTGACATCAAGATAAGGCTTATAATTCAATTTTTTATCTTCTAAATCTTAATTTGAAAAGAAAATATTTAAATCCATTTTCAATCTTCACCTCTGTGCATCACATAACACATTTGCAGTCTGACTTCTCTCTTAAAGAAACACAAACTATAGATAATGACAGATTGGAATATGAAATTTGCACCCCCTATCTTCCCGAATTGCTCAGATATTAACAAATTTGTCAAACCCACTAAAATAGCTCCTCCCATTTTTTTAATGCAATTGAAGACACTTATTTCCTTATGCTTACTTGTCTATTGGAGATGTTTGCAATGAACAGAATATGTATTTTATCCCCTTATGAGATTCTTAATATGTTTATTCCTTTTTGGTGACTTTTAAGTAGACAATTCACCTTACACTCATTGTAAAAGATTGTTGTTACTTAGCTCTGAGTAACAAACAAAAAGGTTTGACCTATTTATATCTTAGATAAGAAAGTCAGTTAAATTATAGGACTTTTGAGACATTCTATTCTAGTGATTGATAAATGTGATCTAAAAATGTATATTTGAAAGCTACATTAATTATTTTTTGGACACCCAACACATTGAGAAAAAATTAGGCTTACTCAACTACACATCCCACTACAAACTGCGCCAAGGCCAACAGTGCTATATTTAGTTTTTTATACTTATTTATCATTATATATGTTTTAACAAAGTAATTAAAATGCAAAACTTGTCACATTAGATAACAACACTTAATTAAAAAAAATAATTCTATTAAAATATTTTTTGTGATCACTATATTCCTAGCTCAAGGAAACTACATGCAGATAGCACGGCATGATTGTAACTTGATATCAGTTAACATTAAGCTGTCCCCCTATGACACATACTTTGAGATAGTTAATAAAATTTAAAGAAAGCAGATGTGAAAACAGGAGACGAAGCTGTTATTATAAATGATCGCAATTACTTGTTACAAAATGCAGTCATTTCAGAGAGAAAGAAAAAAGGTATTTTGACTTTAATTCATATTTTTCAACTTTTCATTTTACTGTACATTGATAATTTCACTGCAGTGTTAGGGTAGAGAAAATATGGGATAATATATAAAGTTAAATGAATATTAAGAATTTTTGGTTAAAGAGATTCTAGAGATTATGCAAAAGTAATGTAAAAACTTTAATATGAAAAGAAGTATTTTTATCCTTAGCATGAAAATCATCTTTAGTTAGTAAATATAGTAAAGGTTTCATAAGTTCATGGACAAATCTTTAGTAAAAATACTTTATTAAAAATTCTGATTTTTAGTGTACAACATGCATGTAATTCTTACTAACAGCAATATTCCATGAAGATACATTATCCAATTTATGAATTATCATTGTATTTACAGTTTCGTACTTACATTGTGGTTACAAAGTTAGTCAAACTGATCTTGCCAGTACATACATAAGGTTAACAAAAACTTTTTTTTATTAATGTGTGTGGTAGTTTATTATATTTCATATTTTGTTACTATAATGTATATTCTTCTTTGCTTTCACTCACAAGTTCTTACAATTGTACACTGCAACCATGTTTTAATCAATTTCTTGGGCTTAATTCCAGAATCTTTTCAGCAGCTGGCAATGTGCCTATTCTTGTGTTCGAACAGTTGAAATCAATTTAAAAAATTTGGCTAACTAGCCTTTGCTGGAATTAAGCTACTTTTTCTAGTTAATGTAATAATTAGTAATAAACTTTTACTTAACTGCTATGTATACTTTATTAACTGGTAAAAGAAAAATTGGCAGAACAGATATTTCCAGTTCCAACTTACTCGAGCTTCTAGATATTCCATACGTCTTTCTAATGATGTCAGCTTCTCATTCAAAATTGCTAGTCTTGATCTACAGGACATATCTAAAGAAAAACAAATAGTTAACATCACATATAATGTACACTGTGAAATTGTTTTAACTTTTATTTATTTGCAAGCTTTCACAATAAATGCAACCTAAGTTTAAAGAAAAGTTTAAATTTAAGAATGCTTGTAAGAAATGTAAGCTTAATAATTATTTATTTTATAAAAAGAAGAGATTATATCATGATAAGGAATATGAAAATACAATGAGTGTAATACAGTCTAAAGTAAATTAACCTTACTGAATGCTCCAAAAAGAATGCAGTATTTCTGTGATTCATCTACATGAAAATGCCTATCTGTTGACTTTATCAAAAATACCTTTCAGTCCAATACAAAAAATAAATATTTCACCATGCTGTATTCTAAAAACCTGATACAAAAATCTTAAGATATAAAAGCAGATAAATAGCTTGTATTTTAGGTTAACTATAAAATGTCTCACCTAGAAATTATTTCTCAGCATCAATCTAAATGTGGGATACAATTGATGAAGATTTTATGTTTAAAGCTAAATCATATTTGACTGCATATACTCGCATATATAGGTACTTTTTCGTTATATCCCTGCAACTGTTAAACTTAACGTTTAAGAACCAATTATATTAGTTATTTTTATCACTAGTTTCTCTTCACACTAAAGTAATAAAGATTATCTTTAATTACCTTAAAACTTAGAAATAGAACTTTATTACAAGTGATAATAACTAGTTTTTGATGTATACATAAAACAATGTATTTAGCCTGATTTATATTATAACCTACCTCTAACTATAGGCTGGATTTAAACTAATGGATCTAAGTTCCAGTAAACAAGTTAATCCTTAAAACACGATGAGATAATAAACTAGATTTTAGATTGTATTTATTTAAGAAAACAATGTATTTATCCTGTTTCTTGATTACTTTAGTCTGAAGACAAAGTAGTGATAAAAAAACAACTAATATATCTGGCTCTTAAACATTAGGCTTAATAGTAACAGTTGTGGGGGTTACAACAGAAAAGTACTCATATATATACTATATATATATATAATATATATATATATATATATCATATTATTCATACTAAATACAATATAGTA